GTGGGAGAGGGAGAAGCAGGCTTCCCGCCGAGCAGGGAGCCCGATGCGGGGCTCGATCCCAGGACCCTGGAATCGTGACCCGAGCCGAAGGCAGGCGCCTAACGACTGAGCCACCCAGGCGCCCCGTAGCTGACTTTTTAATACAAGGCATGATGGGGTTTTCCACAAGTAGATGCTGAGAATGGAGTTTCAGACAGAAGATGGTTACTTAGGGATCAGCATCTGTGAAACAGAGGAGAGAGCAGGAAAAGGAGTCAGCCACAGTGCAGACTCAACAAAGCCTCGGCCAGTCTTGCAGGGAGTTCTGAAACACATACTGCCCTTCGTTGTCTCAGGTTGGGCTAAAGTTAGAAATGTCAGGGCCTTTGTCCCCCTGCCTCCCTCAGTCCCTAGATACTGGTGCCCCGGGAAGGGACCTGACCTGGCAAGGCAGTGCTGTGCAGCTGACCCTAAACTCTGTGTCTGGGCAACAAGTCTTTTGAAGCTTTCCAGTGAGGCCTGAGTTCAAATCCTGTCTCTTGATATGTCCTTGTTGTGTATAGGAGCTTGGTAACTTAATTTTCCTGGGACTCAAACTTCCTCATGCTGGCAGATGGTGAAAACAGCTCCAAGTCAACTATAGCTTGCCCGTTCTATACTGATGATTCTGTTGCACACACCCCCAACACACCACCCACACTAACATACTGCTGGTATTCTGAACATACCCTGTTACCCTGTATTTTTCTGTTTCCTCCTGGAGTGTGCACTTATTTAAACTAGGTTATGGGACAGTACTTGGTTGACTACAAAACATTATACAGATGTTAGTCCTCAAGAGTACCAGGTCTGAAGTCAAACCTGGGTTCCAGTCCCAATTCTGCCACTTAGTAGCTGGATGACCTTGGGTGTGTCTGTCAGTTTCCTCGTCCCCAAATGGGAATATTAAATGGTGTCTAATCTCATTGAGATATTGGGTTTAGTTGTAAGGATTAAATGGTTAAGACACTTGGCAGAGACTGGAGCACAGCAAGAAATGAAATAATAGTTGTCATTGCTGTTGATCATAATTACCAACATCTTTTTCGATTAGAGTTCCTTGGTTCTTGGTTCCTTGCCATTACCTGCAATGGGTAACAGTTCTGACTGAACTACGTGGTGCTATTGGCCCTACTTGTCCCTGGACAGAACGTCAGGTGGTTTCAGTCTCTTTGAACAAAACAAGTCATTTTTATTTCATGGTAGCCTTAGAAAACCTGGGCTACTAAACATCTGTGACCTCTTACTGTTAAAGTTCATTGCTGTTTATTAGTTAAGGAGCTGCTCACTTCTTCCAGAACACTGTATAGAAGAAAGATACTGGATCTGAGACAGACAACTGTCAAAACACCAACTATGTGTAATGGGCAAAGGGGGTGGCTGAAATCTCAAAGAATGAGCCACAATTTTAAGAAGCATCTAGAAAAGATTAGTTGGTAATTTTTATTTTGCTACCCCCGTGCTGCCTCCTGGGTACGAATGGATTTCTTGGCAATGTAAAAATAAAACAGTTGGCAGTTGGCAGGAGGGGAATATTAAAGAAAATAATATTTGTGTACTAGGTGGTCTGTTTCTGAGTTATGAATAGTAAAATTCAGTAATTCTGGTTACCTTTCAGACCGCTTGAAAAATGAAAAAGAACCAATGGTGTTGAAACTTAAGGACTGGCCACCAGGAGAGGATTTTAGAGATATGATGCCTTCTAGGTATGATTATTGGCAGGGGGGAGGGATGATTCTGTCCTTGACTTGGTAGGATAAATTCTTCTTGAGGTGGTGAGAAAAGTTTTCAAAAGGGAAAGATGAAATATGGAATAGTTTTACTGGTGCTGATATTTTATTTTTAGACTACAGTCTTTGGATATGTGTGTTTTAAATGAGATAAAGAGGTTACTGACTTTGAGATTTGGCTGACTGATGGAATCTTCACACATTTCCACTGTAGTGCTTGGCCAGAGAGAGGCCACATGAGCTGTGCGGCCTCTGACTTGGAGGCAGTATTGGGATTGGACCTCTCAGGGTTCAGTGTAACGATATTGCATTAGATAGCAAGACAGCTGAATTGGTAGATCCATTTTCCTAATTTGAGCTTGAACCTTGGAAAGGATCCTTAGAACTAATGAATAGTAGTACATTCCTGAGTGTCACTTCTTATCAGGAAGTCACTGACGTATTTCAGATCATTTTGATAAAGATGCATGCTGTGGGAGAGAAAGAAGATATCTTTGTTCATAACTACTATAATTCTACTCTTAAATATTGTTCAAGGAAAGCTTTCTCCATTTTTACAAGCACAGATATTTTTATTTGTTCCTTTTGGTAAGAAGGAACAAAACAGATCACACAATGATGGTTGATTCTCTTGTCCTAGGTTTGATGATCTGATGGCCAATATTCCACTGCCTGAGTACACACGGAGAGATGGCAAACTAAATTTGGCCTCCAGGCTGCCAAACTACTTTGTGAGGCCAGATCTTGGTCCCAAGATGTATAATGCTTACGGTGAGGAAGAAATGGCTAACTTGAAAAAATTTTAATGGGAATAGAGCATGTCAGAATGTTTGGAAAATTGCTTTTGGGGGAGTTGGAGATGGAAGACCTCTATAGTCCTAACACTTCACACAGCAGTGGGCTTCAGTTTCGCATATTTCCTTTCATTCCTTTTCATGTGTAGGTGTATTTCCTTTTCATAGTTGCAGTTATAGGGCGTGTGTGATTTTTTATTTTTCTCTTTTCTACATCTTATGTTCTATCGTAAAATCTTTGTGTTGTTTAATAGTTTTTAGTGTGATAATTTTTTAGTGGTTGTATGGTACATCATTAAATTAATCTAATTTTGTTACTCATTATTTTTAAAAATTTTTATTATTTTTTTATTGTTGAAATTTCAGGTAGTTAACATATAGTGAGTGCTATGTGTTTTGGGAATAGAATCCAGTGATTCATCACTTACATATAACACCCGGCACTCATCATAACAAGTGCCCTCCTTAATACCTACAACCCATCTATCCCATCCGCCACCCACCTCTCTCCAACACCGTTTGTTTTTTCCTCTGTAGTTAAAAGCCTCATGATTTGTTTCCCTCTCTTTTTCTTCCCCTGCCATATGTTCAAGCATTTGTTTCTTAAATTCCACATATGAGATCATGTGGTATTTGTCTTTGTCTGACTTTGTTTCACCTAGCAAAACACCCTCTAGCTCCATCCATGTCATTGCAAATGGCAGGATTTCATTTTTTTGATGGCTGAATAATATTCCATTGTATATATATACCACATCTTCTTTTTTTTTTTTTAAGATTTTATTTATTTATTCGACAGAGAGAGACATAGCAAGAGAGGGAACACAAGCAGGGGGAGTGTGGGAGAGAGAAGCAGGCCCTTCACGGGGCAGGGAGCCCGATGCGGGGCTCGATCCCAGGACCCTGGGATCATGACCTGAGCCGAAGGCAGACGCTTAACAACTGAGCCATCCAGGCGCCCCACCACATCTTCTTTATCCATTCATCTGTTGATGGACATCTGGGCTCTTTCCATAGTTTGGCTATTGTGGACATTGCTGCTATAAAATTGGGGTGTATGTGCCCCTCCGAATCACTATGTTTGTATCCTTTGGATACATACCCAGTAGTGCAATTGATGGGTCACAAGGCAACTCTATTTTTCACTTTTTGAGATACCTCCATACTGTGTTCCAGAGTGGCTGCACCAGCCTGCATTCCCACTAACAGTGCAAGAGGGTTCCCCTTTCTCCGCATCCTCGCCAACACCTGTTGTTTCCTCTGTTGCCAACCTTAGTGATTCTGACAAGTGTGAGATCGTATCTCATCATGGTTTTGATTTGTTGTTACTCATTTTAAAGTCAGTCTGCTAGCTGGTTTTAACATCTGCCACACTTAAATACCCCCGTGTTGGGGGTAGTAGTTTGTTACTTAAGTTAGTATCAGAAGCACTCTCTGAATTGGATTTTCATTGTTTAGACATGACTCAGTAAACTACCCAACACGGAGGATTGCACAGGATAGAGAATGATTTCCTCGGAATGATTTCCAGAGTTGTCTTTTATCATTATTGCTGTGACCTTGACCAGTTTTCTGTTGGGTCTTTATTTAGATCTTGATTATAGTTGGCTGTTTTGAAGGAATTGTTTACTGATTGTTGAATGAAGTTTCAGTTGTTTGGATCATTTACTGACTTTGCTTTAGTCTTTTATACTATTTGGACCCCATTTTTCCAGTCCTCTAGAATTACTTCTTTGATTTTATTCCGTCTCCCATAATTACTCTGACGCCCAGTCTCTCAGACCTGAGGGTGGCAGCCCTCCTGAAGAAAGGACAGAACCCTTTGGTATCTTTGCTGTGTTCTCCAGAGACTGTTGGGGGATGAGAGGAGCAAGGGCTTGCATCTCAGCCCCACAGTTTTTCTGTTATGGTGTCAGTCCGGATATCCATCTGGAATGGGGTCAGGGAACATTTCGAGAAGGGAGTTTATATTGGGAAGCTCCCACAGCCTAGATGCCTGAGAGCATTCTGCCAGGGTAGGGTGAGAAATGGTCTGTGAGAGAGAGGACACAGCAGGCGAAGTCCTCCAGCCTATTCCCTTTACTTTTCAGGTCTCAGTTTAGAGAGCCCTGCACACGCTGTGGGGCTGCTGAGTTTCCTTCCCTCAAGCCCTTCGGAGCAGCTAGTTGGTTGGGGTCTCGGGATGTACGCTGCTCCCAGCGGAGATTTGCGATGAACCTATGTGAATGAAAGTATTTTTCCACTAAAGTAAATGGTGTAGTGTTGCATAGTGATTATCCATGCCTTGTAGGCCTCATGAAGCTCTATGGGGTAGAAGTGGTTACCTGAGAAGTTTCAGAATAAATTGCTTGGTTTAAATAGCTTGGTAGCATAGACACCAACAGATAGATGGCAGTGTTACTCTGTACAAGCTTTACCTCTGACAGAATTGTTCCCATCCGGAGTCAGCAGTTAGGGATTGAAAATGATGAAAATGTGTTCATTTTCAAACATCTTACACCTTATCATAAACAGTAAAGAGCAATCATTTTGAAAGGTTGGATGATTGATTGAGCTGGGACTCCTCAGGCAGAGTAGCGTGAAAAGGCTCTTTAGAGAGAGAGAGTCCGCATCTCTCCATCCCCCGTACCACCACCAGTTTTCCCCATGGGGGCCAGGACTTCAGGACAGTGGCAGGGACAGTGACCTGCTCAGGATGTATGAGGGGCATTCAGTAGCAGGTCTGGGACTAGGACGTTGGGTCTCCTGATTTCCAGGCTGGTTCTACTGCTCTCCCTGCAACCCCAGTGCTGTCACCCAGCAGTCCCTGTTGTGTCAGCTCGTGTACTCTTCATAACTGTCCATGGTGTTATGTTCCAGGAATTTCTATATTCTGGGAATCCTTTCCCTGGGAGCTTTATGTTTTTATAATCTTGCTTCCATTTAGGCTCAGGCTCTCTTCATTCAGAGACCGTTTTATCAGCTTGCAGTGGCCCGTAGCTGCCTGTGGATGAGTGTGGGGCTGATAGCTGGGTAGGTGTCGCTTCCTTCCTTGTTTGGCACAACTCTTTTCCTCCGTTTGGCACTGGCCAAGGAGCAGGCATCCTGACAGAGCTCTGAGACCTGTTCGCGCTTCCCCCCTCTTCTCCCATCACATGTCTTCCTTCCTCCCGCAGGGTTGCCTGCTGTCCTGCAGTTTGTACGTTTGTAACGCCGCTGTATGTATTTGTATTCCCACAGAATATTCTTTCAGTTTTAACCTGTGTTTGAGCTTTACATAAATAGAATCAGACTTTTGGATAATCATCCATGCTATCATTTATAACTGTCCATTTCATTCATTTTCTTTCTATTTTATTAATTGCTTTTTCTTCTTACATTTTAATTTTTTTATTTTTTATTACAGAAAGAGTTTCCAAATGCACTCAGAACTTGAAAGTCTAATACAGTGACTCCCCATGTACTTACCCCCCAGTTATAGCAGCTATCAATTTTTTGCCATGATTTCATTATTCCCTCCCATTCTGTTTTTCCTTTACCATTTTAAAGCAAATATTGGGGCGCCTGGGTGGCTCAGTTGGTTAAGCGGCTGTCTTTGGCTCAAGTCATGATCCCGGGGTTCTGGGATCGAGTTCCGCATCAGGCTCCTTGCTCAGCGGGGAGCCTGCTTCTCCCCTGCCTGCCGTTCCCCCTGCTTGTGCTTGCTGTCTCTCTCTCTCTGTGTCAAGTAAATAAGTAAAATAAAAACAACAACAACAAAAAATAAAGCAAATCTCCTTTGATAACTCCTTTAAAGCCTATCCTTTGATTTTGCCTAAATATTTAAATGTTCAGCCCTCTCCTAGGGCTGATAGTTCAGCTAAATGGAAAGAAAGGAAATCGCTACAGTACAGGGCTCTTAGGGCTACTGTCCCAGGGTGAAGTTATGGGGTGTCCTCTCCTGTGTCGAGCTGCTCCTCAAACTGCAAGGCTCTGGCAAGCCGGAGGGAAGTCCCTTGGCCTCCTCCAAACAAAACAGAGCTGTTTCAGGGGCTGGTGGGTTAGCAGACAGCCTCTGCCTGCCCCCTATGAGCCATGCTTCTCTCTGCTGCCCATTCAAGGGTCTTCACATCAGGGCGGGCCGTCCACGGTGAACACAGGGCTCGGTGAGCCTCAGCGTGACTGCCGAGAAGGCGAGTCTTTTTCTGGGGGTAAGAGATGAAAGTTTCAGACTATGAGCACCAACCAGGACTTCATGCTGTGGCTCACTACCCCCACTCCCCACTTTTCTTTTTTTTTTTTTTTTTTTTTTACAGTTGAAGGAACCAAGGAATGCGTTGGGCAGTGTTCTGTCTTGTTCTAAGTGTATAGCCATTTGAGGTCCCAGCTTTATGTGTATGTGAGGGGGCTTTCTGTTAGACTCCCCATCTTGAGTGGGTCCTGGGCCTTTTGTTTTGCCCCAGAGTACTCTAGGCTGTGACAACCAAAGCTTGAGAACTGGTCGAGCACATGTCCTTTTGGCAAATTCCAGCTCTAGGAGCCACTTTACCATTCCCGAGTCCTGCTTTCTTGTTTTTTGGCTTAGGAGTATTTCTTCTTCTCTCGCCAGCACATTGTTTCATTAAAAAAATTTTTTTCAATAATTTCATCCTGGACTTTTAGTTGCTCTTCACAGGAGGGTCTTCCAGGGACCTACTTTGCCTATCATCATAAACAAGTCCTAGTGGTAGGACTTGGTTTTTTATTTTTATAATTAAATATTTGATGAGATTATTTTCTTTCAAAGTTGAAAGGTTAACATAACTTAATATTAAATATTGTTCTCTTACTTTTACATGATTATATAAAGGCAGCTTTTAAATCTTGTGACCAGGTATCTCACAGGGAGTGGGAGAGACAGTGGCAGCCTTCGTCATCTCCGTAAATTTAAGGTGTTTTCTGTTGACAGGATTAATTACTCCAGAAGACAGGAAATACGGAACCACAAATCTTCACTTAGACGTATCTGATGCAGCTAATGTCATGGTGTATGTGGGAATTCCCAAAGGACAGTGTGACCAAGAAGAAGGTAGGGTGCTAAGTGTAGAAGTGAGGCTTACTCTCTGAGTTGGAGACTGGGGTCTGATATTTGCTTTCTCTTGCTCTAGAAGTCCTTAAAACCATCCAAGATGGAGATTCTGATGAACTCACAATAAAGCGATTTATTGAAGGAAAAGAGAAGCCAGGAGCCCTCTGGCACATATATGCTGCAAAGGACACAGAGAAAATACGAGAATTCCTTAAAAAGGTGTGCTTTCTATCCTGTGGCTTGTGAAGAGAGGCGTGGAGAATAGCACTGTTAGAAATTACTCCATGTTGAGAACTGACTGGCTACTGGGCAATAATCATAACCTCAGAAGTTTAATCTTTGCGTATCAGATTGACTAGGCTGAAGCTGTTCGCTGAGGAACAAAGATTTCAAAATGATCAGGTTCACACCTCTCAAAAGAGGAGGCCTTGTGTTATGACTGTGTTTTACATTATAGTGCATTTGGAGATTTTTGTGCTCTCCCTTCAGGTCCGAACCATTCCTCTGATTGTTTAGCATCTGTTTGTTTTTATTGCCTTAAAAATCTAAGTACCTCAGAAGTTCATGTGTAATTCCTTGGCCCTTGATACCTGTGTTCTGAGTGAGTTACTTAGGTCCCTGTGGGTTTTGTCCACCCTCATTTAGTAGTAGGTCAGGAAAGCCTCAGGCATTACTTGTGGCCCTTAGCTTGCAAAGGGCCATTGGAAAGGGATACAGGGGCTTTTTTTTTTTTTTTTTTTTGAAGATTTTATTTATTTATTTGACAGCGAGAGAGGGAACACAGGCAGGGGGAGTGGGAGAGGGAGAAGCAGGCTTCCCGCCGAGCAAGGTGCCTGATGCGGGGCTCGATCCCAGGACCCTGGGATCATGACCTGAGCCGGAGGCAGACACTGAACGACTGAGCCACCCAGGCGCCCCAGGATACAGGGGCTTTTAAGATTCCAAGTTTCCAGTGGTTGTCAGGTTGTTCAGCAAGGGCTGTGTGTGGAAGTTCTAGGCAGCTGGAAAGATGGGTGCATCCAGTATCTGTGGCTGATACTCTTCAGTTCATAAGGATTAGATGTGTACACCCCTAGCCTGTTTCCTGGTGCCAAGTAGGTCCTTAACCAGCATTGGTTTGAATCAAGCTGTTTCTGACTTAGGATCATTTGACTCTTCCAAAACCTGCTGGTCTCCATACTGCTGCCAAATACTGTGTCTAGAATAAACCGATTTAATTTATAGCTGTCTTTGGGACTGCTCTGTAACTCGGGTTGTTAAATGAATATAGATTTTTAATAACGGCAGTACAACAGTCTGTTTCTAAGGAACTCGAGCCTACTTACATTCAAAAGTCTAGACCAAAATATTGTCCAAACGTAGTATCTAGAAAAATATGCAGACTGCCAGTCAGAGATTATTGGAAATGACAGAAGGAAAACCACATTTTCTTTCAGTTTTCTCTTGGTTCTTTCAGTTAATGTCTTCGAGTATCACCTGTCTCTTTCTGCCAGGGGGCTGCCTGTTAAGGAAGGCCTGACATCTACTGACTGTCCACACTATTCGGGGGCCTGGGGGTGGGGTGGGGGAATGCCCTCCTTGTGCCTCAGTGTGTTGCTCAGTTTCATAATATTTCAAATGTGTTCTAGGTATCAGAAGAGCAAGGTCAAGAAAACCCAGCAGACCATGATCCCATTCATGATCAGAGCTGGTATTTAGACCGATCACTAAGAAAGCGTCTTCATCAAGAGTATGGAGTTCAAGGCTGGGCTATTGTACAGTTTCTTGGGGATGTGGTATTTATTCCAGCAGGAGCTCCACATCAGGCAAGAAACATTATTTTATTCTTTATTCTCTTTACACTGAGAACTTTTGCATATGTGTTACTGATATAACTTGTGTTTTCCAGGTTCATAACTTATATAGCTGTATTAAAGTGGCTGAAGATTTTGTTTCTCCAGAGCATGTTAAACACTGTTTCTGGCTTACTCAGGAATTCCGTTATCTGTCACAGACTCATACCAATCATGAAGATAAATTACAGGTAAAAATAGCACTGATTCTTGGCATTCTCTCTCTCTGGCTTCATGGCCCATTACTGACCTAAAGAGAGTCAGTGAACTTGGCCATGTCACAGTTGGTACAGTGAGTTGATAAACTGGCTTCATGTGTAGTTTCACTGTCTACTTAGGCCAAGGAGGAATGAACATAGAGGAAGTCTCACTTTGGTTTGTTATTGTTTATACTCTAAAGGACTATGCCCCAAGAGAAAGACTTTAGTACTGAAAATGAATAGATCTTTGAGGGGCCTGGGTGGTGCAGTCGGTCGAGTGTCCGACTCTTGGTTTCAGTTCAGGTCATGATCTCAGGGTCGTGAGATTGAGCCCGATCTACACTGAGTGCAGAGTTGGCTTGGGAATCCCTCTCTCCCTCTCCCTCTCCCTCTCCCTATCCCGCTTATGCTTGAGTGCACATGGTCTCTCTCTCTCAAATCTTTAAAAAAGAAAGAAAGAAAGAAAGAGAATAAATAGATCTGACTTCTGATCCTGGCTCAACTGCCAGACATTGGTCTTGAACAAAGACTTTTAGTGCTGTGTTCTCATCCTTGAGTAGAGCAGCACAGAATCTCTGGGATCCAAAGAAGATCTCGGTGAGTGGGTTTAAAGATGCTTTCAGTAGTGAATTATGTAACATAGTTTCATGTTTGGAAAACTAGGGGAACATAAAAGTTTTGAAAAATTGTACCTTGGGGCTTGCCTCTCCCTGTACTCACCAGGACATCAAAACCTGTGGAAGGGGGAAAAGGAGGCATGGGTTTAAAATGTGTATGACATACTAGCCTAAAGGAGTCTAGGTGCCTTTTAAGTACCGACATTTTGAATACCAAGTTTTAACTGAGAGAATGGTAGTAAAACTGGCAGGGGAAATGTTTGGTCTTAGTGACAGATTTTAGATATAGTGGTAAACTGACCATAATTTCTCCCGTTCTTTTAGGTGAAGAATGTTATCTACCATGCAGTGAAAGATGCAGTTGCTATGCTGAAAGCCAGTGAATCCAGTTTTGGCAAACCCTAGGGGTCCCAGAGACTCCTTAACCCCTGTACATTGGAAGTGAATTCCTGGCAGCTGATCAAACTCTTCAGGCAGGATTCCTGTGGACTTTGAGATTCATGTTACCTCAGCTTCTTTTTTAAACTGTACCCAACTGGTAAGGGTACTCTGTCTAATGTATATTTCTAGTGTTTACACACACTAAATGTGTATATGTAGGAACTATTTACAGAACATGCATCCTTAAACTGTGACTTTTCACCTAGTGCAGAACTTCTACCATATTCTGTAAAAACAAAACCTCTTACCTGCTCTGGAACAATACCTGCAGTTACTCCCCAGCTGTGGGGTTGGACAGCTTAGTCAGAATGGGTTTATAACTATTAGGAATCACTGCGCAGTTTATTTGGTTGTATTTTGTTTTGTGTGTGTCGGAGTACCCTCTCCCTCAGCCTGTAGGGCTCAGGTGAGCGACGGAGGAAGTGACAGCTAATGATGCAGTTCCTGCTGTGTTGCATTAGGACTGGCATTATATAGCAGAAATCAACTACTGTACAATTCTTGGGTTTAACCATCTTTATTTAGTTCAATGGAGTTTTAATTTAAATGAAGCTTTGCTAATTTTAAGTGTTAAGCATTTTGCATTAAAGTATTCATATAATATTTTGACTCCACTTATTGGCATTGTTATCCTCCGGTTGTAGGTTCAACAGACTTTTCTCAAATGTTACAAGTGTAAGAGGTTGCTGCAGGAGCTCATCTTAAAAGCAAAGAAATTAGATGCTGTAGTGATTTGTGGTTATTATAATGCTAACATGGAAATAAGTTTCTTCCCAGCCAAGTGGAAACCTTGTCACACCTCTACAAAGAAACATCACCAATTAGCTAAATTCAGAGTGGAAGTTAACAACAACAACAACAAAAAACAAATAGTGACTGGTTAAATGGTTCTTCTAAAAAGGTATTTCCGAGCGATCGAAACACATTGTTTTCTGGCCTTTCATAAAGTAAGTTTACAAAGGAAAAGGAAATTACTAGAAATTTTAGAATAGTAGTATCTAAAATAGTCCTTTCTGATGGAAGAAATTCATCAAGAAGGCACCTTTCTGTATCTCCCTGATTCTCTTAGACAGCTATCGTTATACTAAATAAAAGGAATGAAGTTGAAATCAAGTAGTAGAGACAAGGCCTAGAGCCTGGGTTTTTTCCTATGTGCTCAGGTAGGAGGTCAAAGATCCCTGCCTAATGCCAGCCCCCTCTTCAAGCCAAAACCTGTAAAACATAAATTTCCTAGAAAAAATAAGTAGACATATCTGCCCATATCAGTGGGAAACATCTTGACCCTGGGAATTTATCAGAAGCTCCTTTATACAGGTTTGGCTCTCAAATTGGCACTGCTACTTAGAAATCTCCCTCAGCTGAAATAGAAAAACTTGGATCCTCTGTAGAGGAAATCAGCCTCAAGCCAGGCCTCAAAGGAGTAACAGTTCCAAGACTGTTATTCACAGTCAAATAGATTGTAACAACAAATATGAAAACTGAAAGCCACCATGAACAAGAGTCAGCCAGGACCTTCAGATTGCCATATTAAACCTGCAGAGGTTTACAGACTGAAATGATCCTGTATTATTTTATATTCTGAAATGTTTTCTCTGTTAAAAGAAATGAGAGTATAGGAATATGAAGAATGTGATTTCCAGAAATGACAAGATACAGAAGAAATGAGACATGTTTAAAATTAGAAACTTAGCAGATGAGTTAAACAACAAAAAAAGCTCTTCTATGAACTGCGAGATTGGTAAAAATACAGAATACAGCATTGAACAACAGGATTCTATAAAGAGGTGTTAACTGATAAGCAGAATGCCAAAAAATACAGATTTGGTAATCAGGGGCTGAAAAGAGGGATGGGGGGTGGGGGATGCTGTCCAGAGACAGAGTTTCCCGGTACTCGTGAAGTCATCAGATTGGAGAAGCCCATCTAAATCAAGCAAAGTAAATAAAAAATCCACATATAATAATAAATTAAAAGAAAGGCAGCCAGAGTGGGGAAAACATGATCCTCAAAGAAGTGACAGACTAACAGGTGACTTCTCCACGTCAACAGTGCAGGTCAGAAGAAAGTAAACGCTTTTCTCACTGTGCTGAAGACCAGAGCCTGAAACAGCAACACAGACACAGCCAAATTCTTTCCCTGTTCTTTATGGAAACTTTCAGACAAAAACCAGAGTTTATTTTCAGGCCCTTACTGAAGGAAATTTTAAGGATATCCTTAGGAAAGAAAACCCACAGCATGCAAGAAAAAATGGAGGACAAGGGAAATTACAAACTCCTGGATACATTTAAGCAATAATGGCATTAAACAATATTTTTAGAAGTCAGGATAATTTTTCTTAAAAAGTTAAACAGAATTATGATCCAGCAACTCCACACCTAGGTTTACTCAAAAGGATTGAAAGCAAGGATTCAGATACCTGCATGCACGTTCACAGCAGCGTTATTCACAAGACCCAGCCCAAGAGTTCATCACAGATGAAGGGATAAACAAGATGTGGCATATACATACAATGGAGCATTTTTCGGTCTTAGAAACAAAGGAAATTCTGGCATGTGCTACAACATGGATGAATAAGACCCAAGAGGATAAATACATGATTCCACTTACATGAGAAATAATCATAATCTTAGACAAATTTCATAGAGACAAAGTAGAATGGTGTCGCCAGGGCTGGGAGGAAGGGGTAATGGGAATTCCTGTTTAATGGGTACAGAGTGTATCTGTCTGGGATGAAGTTCTGGAGATGGATGGTGGTGATGGTTGCACAACATTGTAAATGTACTTAATACCACTGAATTGTACACTTAAAAATGGTTAAAATGCTCAATTTTTTATTATGTATATTTTACCAAAATAAAAATCAACTCCCAAGTAGGGAAAACCTTTGGAGTTGAATGAGAAAATGACATTTTTGTTTTTTAAAAACTGATTAGAAAGTCAGGAAAGAAGGAACAAATGGGACTTTTCTGAATATTCCAAATACAAGATAAAGATGGCTCGACTGTAATAAAAGACTTGACTGTTTGCTGCTTATGAAAGATACGGTTTGACTGTAGGTTAAAAGTACAGAAAAAATTATACCATGTAAACACTAGTCATATGAAAGTAAGTATGGCTATATTGATTCCAATTTTAAGATTTTAAGATGAAGAGTATTACCAGAGAGAAAGTGTTTTTTGTTTGGTTTTTAGAAAAAAAAATTTTTTTCTTTTAGAAATTTTTTTAATTTGCTTATAGTTGACACAATGTTACATCAGTTTCAGGTGTACAACATGATGATCGGACAACTCTATACATTATATGTGCTCACCACAAGTGTAGCTGTATCTGTCACCATACAGTGCTATTACAGTATCATTGACTACATTCCCTATGTTATCCCTTTTATTCCTGTGACTTAATCATTCTACAGCTTGGAAGCCTGTTATCTCCCCCTCCCCTTCACCCATTTTGCCCATCCCCCACCTCCCTCTCCTCTGATGATCATCAGTTTATTCTCTGTATTTATAGGTCTGGTTCTTTTTGTTTTATTCGTTTGTTTTTTAGATTCCACATATGCGTGAAGTCGTAAGGTATTTGTCTTGAGAGAAAAAGTTTCAGCAATCATAAAAGGGTCAACTCAGTGGGAAGATATTGGGTACACACCTAATAGCAGAGCTTCAAAATAAAATGAAGCAAAATTTGACAGAATTAAAGGGGAAAAGAGTTGGTGATTCTCCCTCTTTCTGTAGTTGCTAGAATCAGACATAAAGCCAGTGTAAGTACAAAATAATTGAACCTATCAACCAAATCAACATTTATTAGAACACTAAAGCCAGTGCTATAAATAACACATTTCTTTCACATGCATGTTGATTCTTCACCCAGGAAGACTATACACTGTAAATAGATTTCAAAGGACTATGTAAATTGAAATTGTATAGAGTATGTTCTTAATGTGGTGATAATAGAATTTAACTAAAAATCAGTAAAAAGATTTACTTTTTTAATCAGCAAAATTCCCAAATGCTGAGAAAATAGGCAGCTTACTTCTAAGTAACCCATTGATCAAAGAAGAAATCAGAATAGAGATTAAATATTTGGAACTGAATAATGAAAATACAACACTTAAAAAATAGTGGGATTCAGTCACAGCAGTGCTTAGGGAGGAATGTATAGTTTTCAGTGTACATATTAGAAAAAGAAGGCTTAAATTACACATAAGTAATATAGAATATTTTGGGAGATTTTTGCATTTTTGTTAATGGAAGGGTATTGGTCGAACATTTTGAAATGTCCTTGTAATGTCAGGTTATGATATCAAAGTTGTGATCATCTAAAACAAGTTGGGAAATGTTTTTATCTACTCTCTGAAAAAAATATATGTAGTTGGCCCTTGAACAACAACAGCCTTTGAACTGCACATGCCCACTTACACATGGGTTTATTTCAATAATTATACTGGAAAATTTTTTGGAGATTTGCAACAATTTTAAAAACTCAGATAAACCCTGTAGACTAGAAATATAAAAAAAATTAAAAAGGTCTGTCATAAATGCATAAAATATATGTAGGTACTAGTCTATTTTTTCATTTATTACCATAAAATATACACAAATCTATTATGAAAAGTTAAAACTGAGGCACATAAACACAGACTGTACATGCTGCCATTCCCAGTCAAGAAAAGTAAACATAAAGATGCAGTCTGAAACTAACTGCACAAAATTAGTTGTAGGTATTGTACTACTTTAATAATTTTGTAACTGCCTCCTCTTGCTGTTGAGGTGAGCTCACCTAAAACACCACGTGACACTGGTCTTCTCTGCATGAGCAGTTCATGTCTTCAGTAAACTGTATATTGTATTACAAAGTGCTCTTGGAGTTGTCACGTATTTTTGTGTTTAGCGCAATACCATAAACAGTAACACCAGGGGACCCATATGAAGTGCCACTAATGATGTTGGAGGTGCTCCCAAGAAGCAAAGTCATGACATTACAAGGAAAAGTTGAATTGCTTGCTATGTACTGTAGACTGAGATCTGCAGATGCCCACCATTTCAAGATAAACGACTCAAGCTTAGGGACTGTTGTTAAAAAAGAAAGAAAAGGAAAGGAAATTCATGAAGTCATGGTTGTGCTACACCAGCTTGTGCAAAACATTTTTTGTGAAATACCTTTTTAGCTTATTGAAAATAAGCATTTATGTAGGTGCAGGATTGCTATAAGAAAGGCATACCTATAGACTAATACCATTTGACGACAAAAGGAAGCAAAAGGAAGGCAAAGGATTTAAAGCTGGAGACTTTAGTGCCAGCAAAGGATGGTTTTAGTTTTAGAAGGGTTTGGCCTTAAAAATTCTAGAGGGGAGGGGGGTGGGGGATGAGTTAGCCTAGTGATGGGTATTAAGGAGGGCACGTTCTGCATGGAGCACTGGGTGTTACACGCAAACAATGAATCATGGAACACTACATCAAAAACTAATGATGTATGGTGATTAACACAACATAATAAAATTTAAAAAATATATATCAAGATAAAAGCAGTTTCTACTGACCAAGAGGCAGTAGAGGAGTTCCCAGGAGTCATTGAGAAGATCATTGAGAGAGGATAGCTGCCTGAGCAG